AGTCACAGACTCTCAGCCCAACCTACCTCACAGGGTTGTTGTTGTGGGGATGAGATGCAGGAGGAGAATGATGTAAGCTGCCTTGAGCCCTTTGTAGGAAAAAGGCAGGATATAAATCCAAAAAAAAAAAAATTATGGGATTAATATTTATGGGATTAATATCTGTTCCTTCACATATGTTTTTTTCCCCAGGAATTTTTTTCTGCCTTTCTATATGTTCCATTAAACAACCACAAGGTGGTGCAGCAGAACAAGTGCACTATATTAGAACTGCAACAATTCAAGAATCTTGAATTCTAATTTGTTCCCCATTTGAAATATAATACCTCACTCTCCACACTATAAAAAAAAGGCTGCAGAAATGTTTGCAAAGTGTGGGAGAGGTCGTGGAGACTAGATGTAAAGTACTCACAAACTGAGTACTTTACATTGCTATTCTATATGGACAGCATTAAGAGGTTCAGGACTCTATCATCTATCTATCTCTCTCTCTCTCTCTCCCTCCCTCCCTCCCTCCCTCCCTCCCTCCCTTCCTTTTCTTTTTAAAGATCTCAAAGCAGCTTACATCATTCACCTCCTCCTGCTCTCAATCTTATCCCCACAACAATAACCCTGTGAGGTAGGTTGGGCTGAGAGCCTGTGATTGGTCCAAAGTCACTCAGTTGGCTCCATGGCTTAGCAGGGACTGGAACCCAGATCTCCTGTGTCCCAGTCCCATACTCTCAACCACTACACCACACTGGCTCTCACATTAAGTGTAATACTTCTGTTTTAGTACAAAAGGATTTGTTCAGCTTTGTTTTTAGCATGTTTCACAATCATTTGCGGTGTAGCACAGTAGTATCATTATGTTAAATATGTACATTAGTCATAATTCCTAATAACACAGTTCTGGAACAGAAAGCAACATAGAATATGTTTCATACTTCTGATTCCTAACAACACCCACAAATCTTCCTACTTTCTTGTTTTCATAACTCATGAATATGTGGCTCTGTGGGTTGGTTTAAATCAGAATTTTGAATCAGTTGGAACAGAAATTCAACTTGCTTTTCATAAGCTTCAATAGAGATCCTTTCATTCAACCCATGGAACCTGATTAAAAGAAAAAGAAGCAACTCACTCCAGTTTGCACTGGTAACAGCAATACATGCAGCACAAGCTACAGGTTGGAGCCAGACGTAATGATATTTAGAGTAGATCCCCCAAAATCAATGGTCATGTTCAACTTAAGTCATGCTGATTTCACTGGGTTTACTCAAAGTATGGCTTAAGTTGCAACCCAACTCCATACTGTTAATCATGAAGTCTATAAGGTTGAAGCCATTCTTTTAGGACGCATATTGAAGTCACCTACATTTAAGCCTGAAGGATCTTCCTATTTCAAAGACATGCTTTGTTTTCATGCTGTATGAAATGAAATGGTGGTGGGATGCAGGACCCTCCGTGGACGGTACATCCAGTCCCTGTTTGCCACACATCCCACTTCTAACATTAATTCTATAATGATACAATAGGAGACTGTACAAAGTATGGGTGCAATTAGGCTCCATATATCCACTGGCTATTTCCATAGGGCTATGCTCAGAATTCTGGGCATAGCAACAGAGTATGAAGATTGCATAAAACCTGTTTGATTTACAAGTCTGAGGCATATGGATAAACTTAGTTCATTTCCTTTTGCTGTGTGTGCATGAAGCATGGCTGAAGTGAACTAGCCATATGTCAAACTGGTAGCATGAAATAAGAATAAAAGGTATTTTATTGCCTTACACTTGGCTTCTCTGACTTTCTACATATTAATAAAGCATCACTTGGTGGTGAGTTCTAACTGGGATAACTGAGAAAAAAACCCCACTAGATTTGGGCATACATCTCAGATAGGATAAATAAAAGGAGCATTCCTGAGAAACACTGCTGTTATCTGGTGTTTCCACCAGAAAATAACAGTTGAGCAGCATACAGTACCTTGGTAAATCATTGGGTTTAAAGATCACTGGGTTAAATCGATAAATGGCATTTGTGAGATTGCTGTAATGTCTGCTGTCCGTGTTTCCAATACAAATGCCTAAGGATGAAATCATCAGTATTAGAAGAGTTAGGCCGATAATATTAATGTCAATGCAACATCAAAAGACCACAGACTAAAGCTGACTTCCCCAACCTGGTATCTTCTTGATGTGCTAGACTATGACTCCCTTCATTCACAGCCAGTTGGCTGAGAATTATGGGATTGGTAGTCCAACACTTTTGTGGGGTACCACATTTAGGAAGGATGAACTTGAGCCATTGCTTCTTTCACTATATGGCTAAATTTCCTTAGAAGCTTGGAAAATTCTTCCCTGCACTTATTAGAAATCCCAATTAAGCATTTCAGGTCTCAATAGAATTGTTTCCATTATCTGGTTTAATTATTATGGCCTTACTCAGCAAGACCTTTCAAATAAGATGGAAGGCCCATAAATGTAAAAGATAAAAGGTATAGTCCAGCAGCAGAATTAATCTGAATTAATTCAGAATTCTAATTCTTAATTAATTCTGAATTAATCTGAAGGAAAAATAAATATATAGTCTCTCTTTAGCTCTGTACAAACATGAACAACTGCATGTATGAACTGAGAGATTAAACCCAGTTACACTGCCTGTTAGTTTCTTGTTTGCTTTTTGTGTTTTACTACCTCCATTAAAAACTCCCAACACTGTAGGTAAGAAAGAATGAACAGAAGAAGAAAAACAAATGTTTCCAATCATTAATAGCATGTGAGTATGCGTCTCTGTACACCCACATATGTCGGGAAGAAGGAAGGAAGAAAGGGAACATGCTGAAAATGGAAATGAAGTAGGGTTTGATGGGTGGAAACAGAAGAGGAAAACAATAACAATCATGCATTTGGGATTACCTGGAGCTACACTGCCAACATCTGGGAAAACATCCAGGATGGTCTGGCGGAAAACCTGCACTCCGAAGGTCTGGTCCTCCCAGGGGCTAACTGGGAGTGGATCAAAGGCATCCATCATTTCTATCTTCACTCTCTTATCATCAATTGTTTTGTCTACTATTTCCAGGACCTAAGAACACACCCAAAGGAACAAAGGAACTAAAGCAGCAAGATGGTTTCCATTCTGCTATTAGCACAGGTTCCATACTCTTTGTCAGCTCTGCACCAGCCACAGCTCACTGAATAAAGCTACACCATCAGGACAGCAGCCCTAGATGGGCCTCACAGGGAAGTCTGCTTTCCTGTTACACAACAGGATTAGTAGCATTACAGGTTAATGTTCTTGCCCTGCAATCAGTTTTGGGTCACTGCCTCGAAAGACCTTCCTTTACAGCCCTTCATCACAGATGCATTTCTAATGGAGAAACCATTCATCAGTGTTAAATACCAAAAAATATGTCTAAAGAACAAACCAGCCGTGTTGTTAAATTGCAGTTCTTTAGAACAGAAACCCAACTTGTCCAATAATGCCTTTTGTTATCTCAGCTACTTGGTGTACCAACTTAAATTATCTGTTAAAAAATGAGAAAATGCCCTCTTTTGCCACAACAGAATGGCAGAAAGAGAGAGATAGCATATCAGATTTGCCCAATACTTTGCAAATGTATGCATTCGACTATCCTTTAGTCACTGTGGCTCTCCTGGTATTTAGTGGGCCGCAGTTCATAGTCCATGACTGTCAGACTTTGCCCAGAACAGTTACACAGAATGTAAAGCTCTTAAAGCTCTCTTGCTTTCACCTGCAAAATCATATTTCTGGAAAAGGCATTGTTTTCTCACAGGCCCTCAGTCTTCTGATTTAGGAACCGGCCAGCAAGTCAGCGCAGTGTTGAAAGCATATACAAGATTAGTCCCATTTGTTCAAAGGTGACTTCTACCCCCATGCTGTACACTTAATCGTTCAGGCAGATCAGAATCAATAAGAATTGATCAATAAACACTGAGGGCCAGTGTGAAGCTATGGTTGCAAGTGCAGGACTGGGACTCAGGAGATCTGGCCATAGTTCACTAGGTGATTTTGGGCCAGTCACAGACTCAGAGGCCAACCTACTGCATGGGGTTATTGTTGTGAAGGTAAGATTGAAAGGAGGGAAACTATGTAAGCCACCTGGTGTTCCTTGGAAGGAACAAAGGTGGGATATAAATATATTAATAATAACTGAAGGAATGGAAAGCATTCTGGCTATAAAAAAGCATAGTGAAATTTGATCCCAGGGGTAAGGGTTAATGATTTTTGCATTAAGTGATGTTTTCACATGTGTCCTTGACAACTTGCAAGGTTGCAATTAAATCCAGTATCATAAAATGCCTGGAGAAATTCATTTTATGAAGCAATAAATAAATAAATAGCAGGGATATCTATGCATATCTATGAGACATCACTGTGTTTTTATTACATGAATTCCCAAACACTGTTTCACAGAAATAAATTTTATATCAGCAACATTTCTTTTCCTTTCTTTCTCTCTTTCTCCTGCCTTTAGATCTGTAAACAACCCAAGGAGCTTTATATAATCCTCCTTTCCATTTTATCCTCATAAGAAGCTTGTGAGGTAGGCTAGGCAGAGAGTCAGTGACTGACCCAAAGACACACATGGTCTACTAGGGACTAGGTCTGGCTCTTCCAAGACCCGCTGTAGCCACTATACCACACTGGCTCTAACATTGTCTTTAATATTGCCTGATGCTACTGCTAGCAAATATGTGAAACCCAAATAAAACTCTATGTATCCAAAAGATCTCTGGAGATGTTAAAATATTGACCAAGCTTGAGGTTGCATAGTTATTTGGCTGCTTCGTCTAATGGTGGAAGAATACGACCATGCAACTTGTATCATACATACTGCAATGTAAGATTTGTGCACTCTACACCCAGGCCTGTTTTGTGCCACCTTGTCACCTCCTTCAACTTTTGCTTTTCGGATGGAGAAGAACTGTGTGAATCATGCCTCCGATATGAGGGCTTCTGGTAGATCATAGGAATCATTTAGTTACACATATGAACCAGTTCATAGTGATGGTGAATAAAAAATTATAAACCATTAGCAACTGACCCAAAGGCCTAAATCCATGGAGAAAAATCAGGAATCAAAGCAAACTCCCCCCACCCCCCAAATGTTGATTCTGACTTGCAACAGCTCTCCAGGATTTCAGACAGTAAGGAATCTTTACCAGGGAGATGTCACATATTGAATCTAGGCAAGTGCTATATGACTGAGTCAGACCTTCAACAATACCAAGGTGAGAAGACCTAGATACTGCTAGCTCTGCATGAAAGCTGCTGTCAGGGGATGATGTTCTAGAACAAATTAGAACAGGGATTTCAGGAACCCTTGCTAAGATCTGGCCTGGTGAGACATCAGGATCTATATGCAATCTGGAAACAGAAGTTTCCTCCAGGCAAAGCAGGGGACAATTACTCCCAAATTCAGCATTGTTATTGGTCATGTGGCCAGACATATGTATTGCTCCTTGTCTGGTCAATAAAACAGACACATAAGCCTTTCCTGCATAAGTTCCCTATGTGAGAGATCCTAGAGCATCTTCCTTCAGCTTCTCTTTCTGAATTCCTTGTTATCTTGCCTCTCCCCAGCAACTGCATCTCTTGGGAATGGCTTGATTTCAGTTTTACAGCATTTTCATGTAAGACTTGCTGCCAGACTCAAGAAATCTGGCCTATGACAAATTCTAATTCTAAAATATTAAGAGTGAGCAAACTCCACTGCATATAGTCACAGTACCTCATTAACTGTTTGCGATGAATGAATACGGAAATTCACAGTTGCATTTGCAGAAGGTGGAATAACATTAGACTACAAAAGAAAGAGGGAGAAAAAGGGAGATTCAAAAATGCAGAGCAGTATTTTCAAAGAAGGACAAACTACAGACCTAGAAAGCAGTTTCCAAAAAAGCATCATTGTCTTCTAGTAATTTTTGAAGCCGTTCCATAATCCTGAGGTGGCTTGTGGCATCTTATAAATATTAAATCGGCCTTGAAAATGTTATTTATGGGGAGGATACCCACTTCCTTACTCTTCTTGTTTCAAGTACCACTGTTACCCTACCTCCTCACAGCCACTGGATAGTATGAACCTCTGCTTCATCCTCTTGGGCAAAGAAGAAACCCACCAGCCATACATGCCCTTGTTGTAGGATTGACCTTTGTTGGGTGCTATGGAATGGCTGATTTCTGCTAGGAAAGGATGGTAACTTAAACTCACCCATATCAAGCAAACCAAATATATTATGGGCTTCTTTCATCCCCAGACAGGGAGACTTGGGTCAATCTTCTTAAAGAGAAGGATGTAATTTATTTATACTTGCACAATTTACCCAGGATGATTATAAGCTTGGGGCCAAACTTCATGTGAGAGAATCAGGCATATCTTTTTAAACACGGGCTTGCCCCTATCATAGATAAAATGGGGCATGGAAGATTAGATTTAAAGTGGAAAAAGATGTGCAACGCTCTTCCAGCCTGCAGTTACCTCACCTGGCCATCCTCTTCTTTATCTTGCAAGGATTCTGATAAAGTAAATGGGCCTTTGTGGAATAAAGTACCTGGGCAAAAGCTGTTTGTTGAACAGAGAAATCTACTTACGCACTTTTTGTCTTTTAAATTGCACATCTCATTTCATACATGTTTGGGACAGATCAGCATTTAAACATTCAGGTCTGCCAGTATCATGTGTAGCTTGGGGAACTAATTTAAAGAATTATTTAAACAAATTATAAAGAAAAAAGCCCAAAAGCATTCTTTACTATTCTACCACTGGGTGTCGCTGGTTAACTATCACACCAAATGCAAAGCATTTAGCCAATTAATATTTCTGAAGAAGTTTAAAATAGAACCACCATACTTTCTTTGGTGTTGTAGTTTCAGTAACTGTTCATTTTTCAGGCTAATAATCTCCTTTCATTGTTCAGGTAAGCTCAGGACCTCTTCATATATTACATTTTTCTTAGGTGTACATCTAAAGGGTTTTTTAAAAGCAGTTTACATGGATAAAAACAGATTCCCTGTTGCCCAGGTCCCAACAGCAGGGATGTACCTAAGAATGTTAAGTATGAATATGACAACAAGCTGTATGAAAACACATGTAACATATGGGAACATTGGCAGGGAGCAAAGATTGGCTGCAGCTTGTATATACACTCAGTGGCAAAGCAGTGGTTGTGTGTTACATGAAATGTTTTTCCCTTCAGCCTGAGGTATAGCAGCTTTCTCCAACCTGGTGCCTTGCAGATGTGTTTGGATTACATCTGGTGCACACAAGAATGGGCAAGACTGATGTTGAGATTAACTATTAGTTAGGCTGTATTTTAGTTAAACCGTCCCTTGCAGGGAATTATTGGAGCTAATTCTCAAGAAAAGCTTTCTGTCCTCACAGCAATAGAAACAACCACCATCAGTAACAAATCCCATATAAGAGGCCAAAACTGAATCTACATTCTGACTTCAAGGTAAAAAGCCAATAGGAAATATTCAGTCTGGGAGAATTTATCCTTTAATCTTGGTTATAGTAATCTCAAGAGATAGGATTATAATTCTTAGAAATTTAAACTCTCATACTTTCTGGAAAATCCATACAATAGTACCTTGACACCTGCATGAAACATCGTGATTGCAGTGGTGGTCCGAATTAGGGCATTAGTGGCAGGGTTTTGCTCAAGAAATCTGTGTAAAAATCCAGGAAGCACAAAATGCTTACAGACAACAATACAGAATTTACATTCCACAGGTTATAGCTACTTAATAGATTAATACATATGCATTTCAATTTTATCTTGTGCACAAGCTGAAATTCTTCTTCTCTTGAGGAATATTTCATTTTTCACAGGCAATATATTCACTACTTTGTGATTGCTGCCTGAAGGATGTCTGCCCAAGTATCATGGACATCTGTTGAATATTATGTGTGTTTGAGATCAATGTATGCAGTATTTTGTGACCATTTAAGGTTTTTTTTTTTTTACGTTTGGGGTGTGATCTATTGATTGCACTCCTAATCCTCTTAATCCTAGATCTTGGTGATTTACTCCTACAAACTACCTCTGCCTCCCTACAAATCCTACTTTGTATTTCAGCCAGACAACAGATTTTGGCTGTCTAGAAGCGGTGCTTTAGAAAAGGGGGTAGGAAGTTGAAGTGCTTTTGGGATACTTCATATTCCAGTGGCCTTGGTCTTCTCCCAGAACACCCCCTTTACCTCCTCTGTCAGTTTGATTTCCCATCCTCAGAGGGCAACTGGAAGTCTCCTAGACACTGTTTAAGTTCACTCTTTCAAGCTATTGCATACTCCCCTAGCATAAAAATCCAGGAAAAGAATACTCACTGAACTGTACTGAAAAAACAAAAAATGCTGAACAGTGGTAAAAATAATTCTTCCACCATCACCTGACTGCCAACAGCAAATGTACCCTTAATGTAAATAAAACAGTATTCTAAAATAAATGCACATTCTCCTGCTTACTTTCCGTTCCTGATATCTTACATGCAGTAAATTATGGGTTATAACAACTTGGGGCAAGGACCTGTTCACTTTTATCTTGAAAATTGCAATGCACATTGGTGATAGTGTATGCGTTATTTAATTTGGGGGAAAAAACTACAGAGGATGAACGCTCCCCTTATTCTTGTATATTTAGTCAGAGTCCTCTGCTTGCATCAGTTATGAGAAGATGAGAATGGGGCATCATCCTGCTGCCCCCATACAAGTCTCTTTGTAGTACTTCACAAAGCTAAATGAAGCTGTGGCTGAAAATGCTTGTGAAATACAGAGTTTTTCTAAATGGATCTCCTAAACATTGTTTCTCCTTTGGTTTTGTCACAGAACAGAGATCTGAGCTCAACATAAAGATCTTGCCTATTCCTGACTGTATATCACATAACCTCCAGATGGTGATGGGCAATAGCAGAATATTGCAACCACACATGTAGGAAAATCTTTTCCTGAAGAAATAATGCCCAATTTTCACTGCTCCAAAAATCCCCAGTAAAGTGCTCTTAAAAAACAGAACTGAAGCGAGGGGACCACTATATCATCTAGTGAACCCATAAAAAACCATAAGTAAGTAATTGGTGATGCATAATAAACCTTGTGTAGAAAAGTTCATTATTTGGCAATTTGTAAATATGGTTATGATTTCAAGAACAAAACTGAACACTGCAAGGAAGGTTTATGGCTGCTAATGAAAACAGACATACAGATCTGAAGATGAGAATGTGAGGTTGTATTATATTCTTTTCTTACCTGCTAACCAGAGGTGCAAACAGCCATAGATTTGCCATTATGATATTGAGAGGGAAGCGGAACTGAACAGAAAAGGAAGGAAAAAAGCAAATACACATCAGCAAATATGACGCCAGATAATGGTTCCTTCTCATGTAGTATCTGACATTTTAACAGACTGCTTCAGTCATGCTGCAAGTGCCTATGTCAGAAATACTTCCATGCACAGCACACTATTTCTTCTCTGCGAGGGAGTCATGACAATAGCGGAGGGAAGTGGCAGGGCAGTTATGCAGGGGGCAGTGGAGAGAACTGGGTACCTAGGAAGTCGGGGGAACTTTGGTGGAGTATTAGATCCTGCCGATAACTTTGTATGGATAAAAACACAAGCCCCACACATTTGGGATTCTGCTCAAGGCTTTCCTGTTCAAGAAACTTTCATTCAAATACCCAATAGTGCCTTGCTTCCAGCAGGATACCAAAGCAGTTTGGCGCTATGGAAATGAGTGCTGCGCTTACCCAATGCCCCCTGCTTCCATATAAATTATGTTTAATATAACAAACACACTTTTATGGTTATAGGCAACTACCAAACTATAGTTTGTGCTTTCCCTCCAAACTAGGATTACAAGCTACTGATTAAAACTAGTTTGCAATCTAGTTTGAAAGACAAGCACAAACCTAATGACCCGTTTCTTCAAATGTTATGGCAAACTAAGGTTTCATCAAACCAGGAAGAAACTAACGGAAACAAAATGTGTGATAATGGAAAGGCATGAGCATGGGAGTTATTCCCAAAATCCTAAATGATGTTCAGTGTTACTACTTTAAAACGGTGTTTTAATGATGAATTATTATTATTTGTATGCATGCTTTGTATTTTGGAAACTGATTCTTGGATGGTGTGGAAAGCAGAGCATTATTTTAGTATCAATAAAATAAATTAATAAATATGACATAGTTAAATCTTAAGAGAAACCTCTTATGAACAAAAACAGTTAGGAAAAATACTGAAAGTTATTACATTTTGTGCCAGTGACAATTCCAGTAGCTCCTGGAAATTCTCCCAAGAAAATGATATGCTGAGAAATATTCATTACTCAGTAGTAACAATCACACTGATAATTTCAAGGTCACTTCTTTGAAACACATGAAAGAGCACATATTGCTGAATACATACCTCTGCTGCCAATTGTTCAAACATTATGAGTTCAGGTCCATGAGCAAACAAATTGGGCATGGGATGTTGCTCTAATCTATAAGGATCAAATACAAAAAAGAAATTATATTATATCGATCCATACTGTTAGCTAGGCTAACAAGTCACTTTGGCTTTTTATAGTATTTAGCTGTAATAATATTTATATTGATCAACTAAAGAACTAGGTGCTAGGTAAAACACATAAGATGATAAATCCTGCCCAGATAGGCTTATAATCTAATAATCTTTCCATGAAATAAAAAGAGGCAGAACAATCCTTTGACCCCTAGCCAGCATCTGAAGAGCCATGGATGTTTTCTGAGGCCTAGTTCAAAGATAAGAAAACTGCACCTGTCCATATACACAGAACATTGGAACAGACTTCAGCAAATCTGAGAATCAAGATGTGCAACACTACAAAGTTATACTGTGACTATATTTCCCCATCTTAATAGCATATCAAATACAGATTTTCTCAGCTATATTTTCTCAGTCTTGTTGAAGCTGCTGTCATCTCCCTTGTCTTCCAGGCATGTAACCTCTGAGAATTGAAATGAAAAGTAGATAGTGGGCAGATGGAAGCAAAAAAGCATAAACTATAGTATTCTACAGGAGCCACCAATACTAATATTTATGTATTTGTAGTAACATATACATAATACATTAGCTGGCCACTTCCAGGAAAAATTCTCTTGAATCTGCCAGGACTCAACTCCAGAGTTATAGAATTTAATCAGGTGCAGTACCCAGAACATAGCCTGGTCCAGTTTTTGTTGAAGAGTTTCAGTTGGTACAGCCTGAGGATGTTGACAAGGTTCGTGCAACCATTTCCATTCCAGATTCTTGTCCCTCCTGGCTTATAAAAGCCAGCAAAGAGGGAGCAACCAGCCTGGTGATCAATGCCTCCTTAAGAGAGGGAGTGGTTCCATGCCACCTGACAAAGGTGAAGATGCCACCACTGCTGAAGAAATCCCCCTTGGACCAGAAAGTTCTAAATAACTTTAGGCCAATAGCAAATATTCCTTTCCTGGGCAAGGTCCTTGAGCAGATGGTGGCCAACCAGCTTTGGTCACTGAGTGGCATCATTCAGAGTTTTGAAGTGTGCTGATATCAGTACACTGATGACACATAGCTCAACTTCTTGTTGTTTCCATCAGGTGAGGCCGTGTATGTATTGAACTGATGCCTGGCTGTGACAATGAGACTAAATGAGGGCTAGCAACCTGAAGCTCAGTCCACACAAGACACCAGTGAGTATTCTTCTGACTAGAGGATGTTCCATCTGTTCTGGATGGGTTGCACTCTCCTTGAAGGAGCAGGTCTGTAGTGTCGAGGTTCTTCTTGAAACATCTTTATCACTTGAAACTCAGTTGGCCACAGTGGTACTGAGTACCTTCTACCAAATCTAGGTGGTAGCCTAGCCACACCCCTGTAGTTTAGTAATTTGGATAGGGATGTCCTTTTTTAATAATCTACACTCTCATGATCTTTGAATTAGATTACTGCGATGTACTGTATGTGGGGCTGCCCTTGAAGACTGTTCAGAAACTGCAGCTTGTGCAAAATGTAGCAGCCAGTCTAATGACTGCATTCTGTCCTAATTATACTCACTACCTATATATAAGTCTGATTCAAGGTGCTGGTTTTAATCAATGAAGCCTTCGATGGCCTGGCACAGCAATATTTGATGGGTTGCCTCTCTCAATCACACTCTAATATGCATCCACTCAAGCTCTGCAGGAGTTTTACAAGTCTGTTCTCCATGATACACTGTTTTAGCTGTTTTGTTTCTTAAATGTCTGTAATTTGGAAGCTTTATGGTATTTATTGCATTGCTTTATGAACTGTTGTAAACTACTCAGAGAGCTGTGGCTACTTGCACAATATATAAACAAACAAACCTATAAGTATGCATGGTGCTTCACAAGGACAAAATACAGCCTCATTAGCAATATCTGTAAACCAGAGGTTATAGGCCCATGTGTACTTTTTTCCCAGAACCAGGGCTAGTCTGATCAAACTATCACATTCTTCAGATCACTCAGCTGTATCCACCCTGAAGGAAATTAGAAGGTTGTACATGTTTGATGTATTCCAGAGCAGGAATGGTTAATAAGTGAAATAGGGTGCACTGCTTGATTGCTGTGTGCATTATTTGCAGTAGATCAAGCAGGGCTTCTGACTAATAGCATTTAATGAACATACAACAGAGCAGGGAGAAGGGGAGGGGCATAGAGGGAGAAGTAAACAGGGAAAGAATAGGCAATTGCTTTATTTATGTCCTTAGGCTTGGTTACATGATTAACTGCAATAGGGTAATGGTACTGAAAGAATACTCATTGGTTAACATTTAGGGATCCAGCAGGTACTCTCTCATAACCCATATATAACCTACAGGCTGCAAATTGCCACCCTCTTCTAGAAAATAACAACAGAATGGAATGAACTGCTATCCCTTATTTCAGAATACTTCAGTCCACCACTCTACTCAGAGCAATCAGTAGCAACCCCCATTTTTAAACAATCAACTAATAGCTCATGCATAGCAAGTCAGAAGGGGCCTGCCAGGCCATTTAGTCTGACCCCCAGCTATAGCCTGCTCTGCTCACGTAATAGCCAACACGTGTCTCGCCAATCTTTCCTTGAACACCCTCACTGATGCCCCCCCACACCTTCTGTGGAAGCCCATTCCATATCCCAGGGGTCCTAACCATCAGGAAATACTTCCTGATATCCAACCTGAAAACGTTGTGTGTGCTTACTTGGAAATAGGCCCCACTGAACTCAGTGGAATTTTCTTCTGTGTAATCATGCAAAGGATTGCATCTTTAATTTGTTACCAGAATAGTTAATCACTCACTTAGATAATGCTTCAGAAAGAATACCGATACTTGTCCTCTTGGGTGGTGCTGATGAATGGCCTGGTTCTGATACTACAGTGAGATTTGCTGTAATTGCACCCTTTTCTGTGACAGCAATTCTGAAAAGTGGGAAAATCAGCTAATGAGATTCTAAGTGCAATAGAACAGACAGGCTTACTTTCTTTCAGTTGGCCAAATATGGCTGTTTTGATGGTTAACCAAGTGATATGGCCCAGGGAAGACTACCACAGAGACCACAGGAATATATCCCTTTCCCTTTCCTCTGACAGTAGACGCTCCTTTCACCATGGGACAATAAACCCAAGATCAGGGCTGTTCCTCCTCCACTTTCCCCACCATCACCACAGGAAACAACAGCATGGCTGCTCTTCCAAGGCTGGAAAAGCAACCTCAGATGATCTTGCAGGTTCAAAAATCGGGGAGTTCCAGTGCCTGAGGACTCTGTCCTTGTCTACTATGAGGCAGGTCTCACAGTCCCTCCGAGGCCTGTCTAGCTGAAATTGTTATTATTAAAGAGGAAGGAGAAATAAAATCTCCTCTGCAGGTGAATTCTGTCTTCCTCTCACTCTGCCTGGCTCTTACTGGCAGAGCATAGGATGGCCAGATGGTTTTTTGCCACCTTATTCTTGAACCTATTCAAGAATAAGTACTTTCCTAAAAACAAGCAAAACAGAAACAAAACTGTGTGTCATGCTTACGGTTTCTATTAAGTTCATAACTCTGCTGTGCTGCGCAGCAGAGCAAGACACAATATCAGGGCCTCTCTGGCACACACCTACTTAATGCCACACCCAGCGACTTGACTACCATTACTGTGCTCCTTTCAGCATTATTTCTGTTTTGTTAGAGGAAGGGCAGCACCTTTAAATCAGCAGTGATACTGGTTTTTGGCTGGGGGCTACTCTGACCAGGTATTCACATTTCTGATTTCAATTAGTTATTTTCACCCTGAAGGGTGTTGAAAGAGCACCTGTTTGAATACAATAGAACAGAGTTAGGCAAAAATATAAGGTTCTTCTGACAGATTACTGCTTAAAATATTTTCAGATCAGGGGGACTGCTCTATAATGCAGAGTTGTTTAATAAAAACAAGGGCATTTGTTGTGGCAAGTTCTCATCTTACTATACTTACAATGCTACTGGTTTGTCTATTCCAGTGATGACGCCATCAAAAATGAAGCTTCCCTCATCAAGTAAGAAAGAAAGATGTACTCCTCTAGATTCCAATACAGCAACAATCTTCTTCGCTCCTTTTTGACCACCCACCTGAAAAACCCATAACATTGTCTCACCAATCGAGCTACCAGCCTGTTACTCTACCACAGGCTGCACCACATACCCAGTACTTCAGTAGATGGTGATAATTATTACACAGTTACATCCCATAGTACCAATTTTTTATGGCCCAAGCCACTGAAGTTTGTGTCAAAATGAACTGTACATAACCCCTTTCTAAGAACTACATTAAATCCTGCATTCAAAGGACAGTGACACTGGGACTGTTTGCACTTGTAGGATGGGAGCAGTTACCATGTTGAATATGCAAACCCTCATTGGGGGGTTTTGTGTCATGTGAACTCAACAAGCATGGGTTATGTGAAGGTTAAAGGACCCATGATTTGTTTTAACTCACAACAAACTGCAGTATGCCATCTGAAATTGGTCAATCAGTGTCACAGGTGTAGCACCTCCTGTGTTAAAATAGATTCATATTTCTGTGACATACAATAGCCAGTAGCATCAATCTTGCAGTAGTACAAGAAAAAGTGAAAGGATTTCCCAGTCTCCAATAACAAACCCATAAACGTCACTGTACCCATTTCCATAATGAAGTCTTTGTTACCTTACTGCACAGGTCCAAATCCTAACTCAGAAATGGAGAAACCCTGAACCCCTAAATTCCAACTGCCTCTGCAGTTGCCCAGATGGCCAGGCACCCTTCCCTGGCTCCACTCCAAACCAGTGATCATGTGGTGGTTCCCAGGTTTCTGTGCATTTTCCCCATTCTCAGAGGTTGAAATGCTTTCCCTAAAGCTTGTTACTGGCAATAAAAACTTGAAGCTACAATATGTTGGGGGTGCGGGGGGAGACAGAGGTTGTATTTCAGCCCTTCCCCTTTTGCTTTCAACTTCACATCATGTGTCTATTATAGTACACACGACTGAAATGTGCCTCCAAGAGCTTTTCTGAAATTGAATTTGGCTCACAAACTGAGAGAGGTTTGCCACTCCTTTTCTAAGTGGATTGAAGACCATCTTAGTATAACATTTAGATTTCTGTTTGCTTGTTTGTTTGAAATGCAACCTTGCTAAGCAAAACAAAAGCAAAACATCCACGAAGCAACACATTCTAGTGCTGCTGACAGCTGGGTTGTCAATGGATAGCCATCACTTCAATTATGTGAAAACTCTGGAATTAGGATGGCACAACAACATGAATGATTCTCTGGGTAAAAGACGAGCACGCTGACACATCATCCACTGTTTAGGGTGGCATATACTACAACTATAAATAAATAAATAAGAAAGAAAATACCTCTTCATCATGCCCAAGGCCAATATAGAATGACCTCTGAGGCCTGTAATTTCGTCTCAGTAAGAATTCTAGAGCATGAAGAATCCCCTAAAGAAATGGGAAAACTGTTAACCATCATGCATTTTTCTATATCACAAGGAAGGGTGTTTTCCTTTTCTTTCCATGAAAGGTGCCTCATTGCACAATGTGTATTTGAAGACTGATATCCAGGGCAGAATAGGAACTCTGCAGATATACTGGTAATCCTGCTGCCTGAAAGCTTTCCCTCCTGAGCTAGCTGGGCTTGTCTCAGGGCTGGCATTGGGGACTGCACCATACAAACTGAAGCTGTCCTGTTAGAAGTAGAGCAATACATCATAGCTTCCCTGGCAATCAGGGGGCTATCCCAATTGCTGTCTAGTCCTGTTTATTCAGCATCTGGATCTGGTTTTCCAATAGTGGGTGCAACCATGGTGAACAGGTGTGGAGAAACTTTCTGTAGCACCACTGCCATGCACAGATAAGGGGGTTAAACTTAGTTGGATTCAGAATCTTTGCAGGTGTGCGAAACCAATTAAAAAGTCCATCCCAGGAAGCTGATGAATCCAAATCCTGACAAATGTTCCAGGTTTTCTTGCCACCTTGACTAGTGATTTTGTCAAAGCATTGGTTATGCTCTCAAGTGGGGAAATCTTCCAGACAGTTGACCATTTCATTTCGGGGGTTTAATTTCATGTTTATATCACCCAATAGCCAAAGGTCTCTGGGCAGTTCACAAAATTTACAATCCCAAATGCAGTACAAATATAGTATCAAATCTATTACATACAAAAATTGTAAATCGACTTAAGTCAGCTGGAACAGCTAAAGCAATAAAATACAGTGGCTAACATCATGTTCCTGGGAGTAAAGTCTTGATCTGGCATAAAAAAGATGGACCAGACAGACCTCAGTGGGGAAAACATTCCAAACTTGGGAGCCTATCATTGAGAAGCCTCTCTTTCTTGTTGCTATCCTCCAAAATTCCTCAGGGGAGGCGATCAGTATAGGGACCCAGATGTTGATCTGAGGTTCAGATCAGAAGATATGGGGGTCCCAGGCTGTGTAAGGCTTTATAGGTCAAAACCAGCACAGGCTAGGATCAGATACATAGGCAGCCATTGCAAGTGGGCCAGAATTGGTGTTACATGCTCAGATGTTCTGGTTCCTGGTATCATTCTGGCTGTTGCATTGTGCATAAGCTGCAGCTTCCAAACTATCTTCAAGGGCAGTCCCACATTGCAGGTGGACTACATTGCAATGATTTAACTTGTAAGTTGCAGAGCATGGACTACTGAAGCCAAGTAATCCCTGTCCAGATAAAAGTGCAGCTGTGCCATCAGTCAAAGTTAGTAGAAGACATTCCTAGCTACTGTGGTCACCTGAGCCACAAACACAATCATAACTCTAGGAAAATCCCCAAGCTATGAACCTCTACCTTTAGGAAGAGAGCAGTCTGATCTATAATAGAATGAACACCCTGCATTCATTCAGAAGAAGCTGATGAGGAAATATGAATCCTAGCCGTCTTGAATGATGTCACCTTCCCTGGAAGACACGGGATTACATTTGAACTATACTTAAATTCAGCTCTTAAGCTTGTGCATTTGCACAGCTAAAGCTACTGTACCAATATGTCTGTATTTGGAAATGTCAGATCTGGCCACAGTGACATATTCTTATTTATCTTTCTACTGAGACATGCTCTATGTGGGGCTGCCTTTGAAAAACTTTGAAAAGCTATTGCAGGACAACTTACCAGGACCATTTTACCAGGCAACATACAACAGCTGTACTGGATAGCTGTTTGTTACCGGGCACAATGAGCCTGCCTGGGTTTTCAGATCCTCACTATCACCTGAGGCCCACTTGGCAGGAATACAAGAGAGGGCTCTTTAGCTGGCTGCTCCCAAGTGCTGGAACTCCCTAAAAAGGGAGGCCATGAAAGCTCCATCTGTGATTCTGTTCTGCTAGCAGGGAGGGCCATTTTACTCAGATAGGCTTTTGGCCATTAATTGTACTTATTGAAATTGGTTTCAACTGGTGGGTGTAGATTATTTCTTTATTTTATTGAGGTTTTAAAATGATTTATTTTAGTTTTAAATTGTATTTTATAGCCACATTTTTAGGGCAGCACAAACACATTAAGGGTGGAATAATCTATTCTGTTTTAACCTTGTGATTTCAAAGCCTGCTGTGGTTTCTTCTCGGCAAATGCAGGCCAGAAGCCTGGAATTTACAGCAGAAGTGGCAGGTGGACGCACCCACATCTCACCCACTGATTTTCTACTACAATTTCTCCTGTTTCCCTCCAATTTTTTTCTAAGCAGAAATATAAGATTAGTGATTCCATTCTAATGTGCCTGTAGCCCAGGCAGAGAAAAAAAGCAGATGGTAGGGTCAGAAATGGGCAATGGTAGAAGACCTTCCATCTACTTCTTATTTAAATTGTACCTTCCCATTCACAATTTGCAGAGAAATGGCAGCCACACCCTGAAAACTTGAAGTTGAGGCAGAATTTGTGCAATAAATAGTTAAAGCATAACAACATGCACTGATAAGGCTAACTAGGAACCCTTTAAAATATGCCAATTGATCTTTAACTGGCAAAGAGGTATACTCTATTCCTCTTTGTGAACATAAAACAGTGCGCCATCAAATTCTATGAACACTTCAACTCTCAAAAATTTTCCATCCCTGCAAAGAGAGATGCATTTTCAATATGTACCATAACAGAATTTTTGTTATCCAGTGTTCCTCTTCCATATATAAATCCATCACGTTCCTCAGCAGAGAAAGGGTCACTGACATCCCAGTTATCTGGGGAAGCAGGGACCACATCTATATGCGCAAGCAGCATGTAGGGCTGTAGCTGAGGGTTAGACCCCTCAACTGTGAACAGATGGCTGTATCCTCCAATAACTTCATGTTGGATGAAGGTGGCAGAAAACACTGCAGGAAAGGCTTCAGGAGGGAGAAAAGGAGGAAAAAGGAGTCAGGCTTGCTTCTAACTGCAGTAACTCACCTATGGATTTGTAAATAGCTCAGGATGTTTTATGGCAGCCTTCCCCAACACGGTGCCCCCAGAGGTGTCGGACTGCAGCATCCAACAAGATCATCCAGGAAGCCATTTATTTATTCATTTAAAACTTTTGTATACCATCCCATCACTGACATCTTGGGATGGTTCACAATAGCAGCCATGCATCCCCCAGCCTGCTAGCATCATCATCATCATCATCTTCATCATCACCACCACCATACATTATATTTCTATTCTGCCAACAGCCAAAGCTAGCATCTCAAACAGGTGTTTTTTTTTTCAGACCCCATGTAGAGATGAAAAAGCACATGCTTAAAATAAATAAATGAAATAGTATTTACCTCTCAGCTTTTTAATTTGTCATAGCAGAAAATATAATTTAGAAAAAATACATACATACATACATATAATTATCTGGCCTCATTTTTAAAAAAGTTGCATGGTTGGCTCAGTCGATTAAGCAGCATTTTATTAACTACAAACCAAATTATCAGTTACTCTCTATTGAAAAATAAATCCCATTTTTGTCACCTTATTATTTCAACTCTGTTCTGTCTCTTCAAAGCAGGAATGTAAATTCAAATACCTTTACGAATGTACGGCTCAAATTCTGCCAGGGCTGTCAGATTCTGATCATCTGGTGAGAAGGAAACTGTTTGTATTCTGATAGCACCTTCCATAAATAGAAGAGATTTTTAAAAATCAGCAATATTTTAAAATATTGTGCAATGAAGTGACCCTAACCTGCCTCCAACACTGCATATAGGAGTTTATTATTTATTTATACTTACAATTTGTATGCCACTACAATAGCCCATATCTGGGCTCTCTGTATGGCTCACAACAATTAAAACATGAAAACCTTCTAAAATGAGACATATAATTAAGATATTAAATGTACTAACAACATAATCAAAATATGAAAACATAATATATCAGAATTAAAACAATACATGAATTCATCAAAAAAGCAAATTTAAAATTGAACACAACAACAACAAATATAGTTACAGGATCAGTTAAAACCAATCACTAAAATCAGTTATTAAAATAGCTGGTGTCAGGATCCAAGGCAGCTTCAGGGCACCACCTGCTGGCCAAGAACCAGCATAGCAGGCCTGGTAATTGCAAGATTATTCTGCACAATCTACTGCAGCCGGCAGGGCTCTCATGAGCACCAGCTGGGAGCCCTGGGAGAAGAGCTATAGAAGAACTGGCTCTTCCCTCCAGAAGCTCTCTTGGCAACAAAGGTTTCTAGACCTGTGTTCCATGCTTGCAACGATCAGACCTTGATCCTGTTTTTGGCCCTTGCCTGGTATAATGGCCCTTACTTGCTATTGTGCCAGCTCTCGGGTATCTGCTCCTGTCTATATGGCTTCCTGGCTTGTTTAACTGTGTTTTTTGCCTCCTGGACTGGACTTACATTGCTCTTCTACTCCTGGCACTGGCCTTGGACTGTTTGATAAGATTTGGAATTGTCTGGGATTTGGAGTTTAGCCTAGTTGGCTGGGTCTTGGTGCCCGTGTCAGTCAGCCACCCATGCCTTGGAAGCTGATAACTGGAAAAGTGGAATGTTTTTGCCTGGTGCTGAAATGATAGCAGTGATGATGCTGAGTGCACCTCTCTGGGGAGCCTATTCCAAAGGGGGGACGCAACCACTGAGAGGACCCTTTAACCACTGAGTTAAAAACCACTCCTTTTATCCACAATGATAAAAGGTATCATGATGAATGGGTTGATTTTCCTGAGTACAGATTTTCAAAATATAATATAAATGTAAATTAATAAATAAAAGGATGACAGGTTCAGCATTTCTATGGGGTCTGTGAATAACGGGTGCATTTTAAGTCTGTTACAACATTCAGCAATGTGTAGCTTCACATATTTAGAAGTTCCTATGTGCCAGTTATGCAGGTGATACCCCGGTCAAAGAGCACAGATCATCAGACTGCACAAGCGGGTGATGTCTGCACATGTTGGATCCTATAAGGCACTTTAACATGGCCTGAAACAGCATGTAATAAATACACTGAGCTGTCTGCACTGTCCCTATTTGACCTCCATGCACTCTGTGGGTGTCCGTGCAGCATGTCTACTCATAGATTCTCTCCGTATGGCAGCAGCAGAGAACCTCCCACAGACAGGGCTGCCTTCCCTCAAGTTGCTGGAGGCAGTATTCCAGCAGTGGGTGAGGCCAAATTACCACACAGGCTTTCTCAGACATCCACACTCCATGCATGCACCCATTCCATTACCCATTCGTGCACTCTTTCTAATCTTCATCCTTGTTTACTAATATGGAACCCTGCACCTCATTCATCAATCAGCTATTCTCCCCCCACTCACATTCTGTTTCACACAAACACACCCATTCTGTTTTCGCCCTTCCTTCTCTGCCCCTTGAATTGGACTTTGTTCCTAAGCTTAGCTGGCATGTGTGTATGTAGGAGAAGTAAGACTAAAGGGAAGAGGTTACATGGGCTGGCTCCAAACATGCCACAGATCAAATTTAGCCCTTGGGCAAGTGGCTTCCTTCCAGTATGATACAGCAAATCCATGTACAGAGCGTATGTGCACAGAACTAAGTGTTGTACAGAGCTGTACGCACATGTACACAGAACATGTTTTCACTCCTCACTTGCCACACACAATTTCAGGCCATAGAAACCATGCAAGTTGCACATATTTCTTGCCTGGAGGCTTAAATAATAGAAAGGAGCTTGCATGAGTTGTTCTATTATAATATTCGGTAGAATAATGAGTTATTTTATATAAACTGGTTTATGAAGAAATCTTTTATAAAACTTAAGCTCTTGTAGTAATAGCAGACGTTTGTAGACTAAACAACAAATGCTGTGATATCACAGGGTGTCAGCATAGCAGAAATGCTAGATTGGAGCCAGTAAGAAAAAGCACTAATTTAGCATGACAACTGCTAAAGGCTAGAGTCACAAAATGAAGATAATCTATAATTTTACTCTGTGGAATTACCTGAAGTGACTCCCTATAAAAAAGCAAAGACAGAAATATTTACTTTGAAGTAATTGTTACTTTTTCACCTGTTTTCATCTGTGCATTTCTGACTTGGCAAACTTGTTTACTCACAATTACATGTGTAAATTTTGTGTCTGCTACTCAATAAAACACATTATTTTATTATGTATTTAAAATTCTACTCTGACCTGTCTATAAATTAAATTGAATGATACATGCCAAAATAGTTTATAAACTAATAAATAAAGCACAAATAGAGGACAGTTTGGTGAAAAGAAAACACTGGGGACAGCAGTCCTATGGGCCTAGGCAAAACTCTGCCTTCAGACGGAGCAGTAAGAGATTCAACCCCATTTCCTCTCATACATGAGGCAGAAAGAATCCTGTCGGTACACTCTGAGGTTGAACGATCTTAGAGAAGGGCTAAAGGGGCCTTTTTGATGGGCAAGGAAGGGAGGAGACCAAAAAGGCCAGGTGTGAGCCATCCTGGGGTCTTTCCTCCCCCTCTGAAGTGCCATTGCTAAATCAGCAAAAAAAGACTGCTTAGCAAAAAAACAAAACAAAACAAAAACAGGTGGGGCCGGTGGATGGTAAGGTAAAGATGATCTCTAGAAGCCTCTGATTTTGGGGATATCCAATCATCAATATTCTGATTTTACTGCATGAATTAGATGAAATGTTATTGTAAGTCACTTCTGATATTTTGAAATACTGAGTTTTTCTACTGGATACTGTTAATCAGCTATAACTACTTTGTTTCCTCAGAATTGAGATCCAAGAACAACAGGAGCAGCACTTCCTGTTTTTTTCTTACATAAGCTCTAGATGGCACTGTGGTATAGTCTAATACTGCAAATAAACAAGAGAAAATTGTGCTTTCTTTCACTTTTATATTTTCCCTGCTCTAAAATACCCTCTAAAAGTGCTGGTTATGTACAGAACAAAACTGAAGGGTCACAAGGTCATCAAAAGGACCCATAAGGAACTGAGAGTAGGGAATGATGACCGCACAATCCATTTCTTAGTAGAAAATTCCAAGAAATACAGCCTTATACCAAGTTGGAACATTCATTTGTCTAGCCTAGTATTTCCAACTGTGTTCCCTGCAACTGTCCAGGATTTTAGGCGGCTGTTTTGCCAGCCTGATGTGGAAAATACCAGGGACTAAATCTGAGACCTTCCATATCCAAAGCATATGTTTTACCACCAAGCTACAACCCCTATAGAAGCAGCATATCAATATTTTAAATAAATAAAATCCTTAGAGTTCTGGTGCATTTGCGTAACATAATGACATAGCAGAAAGGCATTTACTGATATTGACACAAGTTTATAAAGTAGCTTGTGTGCAAAGATAAGCTTATCACTGAGAGAGAACTAGAAATGTGAAGGGCAAGGTAAACTGAAGAAATATACTCCCCAGAGTATTCTTGGGGGATGATTTTTTTTTCCTGTACTCTGTGAATGTTGCCTGTTTTGGGCACTATGCTGTGTTTTAACTGGATCTTGTGGGTGTATCTTCTCTAGGTTTTTCAATAGGCGCCTGGTGTGTGTGTGTGTGTGTGTGTGTTGCCTGAGTATATTTCTCCGAACATCATCAGTTAGCCTTTTATGAAATGCTACAGAATCACAGAATAGTAGAGTTGGAAGGGGCCAGAGGGCCATTGCGTTCAACCCCCTGCTCAGTGCAGTTTAAACCTTCCCTTTTAGATGGCTCTCCAGTTGCATCTTGAAAGCCTCTAGTGTGGTTCCATTGTTGAATTGCTCTAACAGTGTGGATTTTTTTTCCTGATATCTTGCTGGAATCTGGCTTCCTGTAACTTGAGTCTGTTATTCTGTGTCCTCCACTCTGAGATGATCAGGAAGGAGATCCTGTCTTTCCTCTTTGTGACAGCCTTTCAAGTACTGGTAGAGTGCTGTCTTATCTCTCCTCAGACTTCTCTTCTGGAGGCTAAACACACCCAGTTCTAGCCTTGTGCCTTGTCATGAACAAGGGAAAGGCCTTTCTCTTGCATTTCTCCCAAACTCTGCAATGTACTGTCTTTCAATATGTGACTGGTCCTTGTACTCTTTACATTCGTGAAGGGTGTCAAGACACATCTTTTAATCGAAGCTTTAAACATATGCATTACTTTTTATGTCAATTTTTATATTTTAGTGAAAATATCTTTATGATTTTTGTAAATCACTTTGGTTGGTCAGAAATGCACTACCGAAATGCTATCAATCATGTGATTCCACCTCTGTCTTTTTCTCAGTCTCTTGACCAAATTACTTGTTCCTGATCCTGCCATTCATCCAATGCACGTGTAACAAAATGCATGTTGAAAAAATTAGGCATTTGAGAAATGCTCTGGGGGCAAAAAGGAAAAGCAAAAATGGCTCTAGTGCTCTATTAACAAGCCACTTCTCAGTCAACCATTCTCTAAAACCACCATGTCATTTCCAACAGAAGCAGTCCCACATATGTCCCTATTCTAATGTCAATTTGAGGGCTGTTCCAACATGGCAAAACAATAGACTTTAAGATTTAAGCCTTTCAAAATTACTATGGGAAGGAGCCTTTACTTCCCATCTTAGCTAGAAAACAGCAGGATGTTCTGTCTCTCTCTCACCCCACCCCCTGTTGGATCAGGCAGGTATGATGGGTTGAATAAGGGGGCAGGCGCATATTGACCACCTTACTCAGAAGTAGGAGTGCACAGGATTTCAGCCTTAATCAAATGGGCAGAGGGAACCCTTCCAGTCAGCCTAACCTACCTTACAGGATTGTTGTGAGGATAAAATGGAGAAGAGGAGGGCTACATAAAATGCCTTTAGTTCCTTTCAAAAAGCAAAAAGATGGGATATAAATGTAAAAATAAATAAAAAATCGCAGCCAGAGGTGGGTGGAGAGTGGAGTAGTACTCCCCCACCAAATAGCATACCCATCTGCCACACCCCAGTGCTTTCTTAAGGGACAGACACTTTTCACATGCAAAGTATAACTGGTGTTGACTGGAAATTAAGGCATTTCCAAAGTATCAAGGTTAAACTTGATACTTTAATAATATGGTTAAATTAAGGCATAGAAATGTTTTAATAAATAAATAAAAAATAAAAACTGCGATCTTAAGCATACTTCCTCTATCAAAATCGATAAGGCTTACTTCAGAGAAAAATACGCGTAACATGGGAGGCGTAATATGAAATATGTCGTTATTGGCTTCAGAAATCTGACATCTCCGACAAAAATTTCATCGGTCCGGCCACGCGCCTTGGCTGTGAAGTGCTCTCGCCCCGGCTTTCCCCCTAACTCCGCGCCGGCAGCGGACGAGTCCCCTTCAGCCTGAAGGGGGCGCTGAAGGGGCTCTGTGCGTCCGTCACAGCCCCGCTGTTACCTTGCAGTGCCTCCTTCAGCTCCTGCCGCTCTCTAGGGCTGAATGCGGGCGCCAGGCGCTGGGGCTGCTCCCCGCGCTCCCAGAGCCGCGGAGCCAGCGCGGAGGGGCGCGTCCCGTAGGTGCGCACAAGCACCGCCACTAGCAAGACCGCCGCGGTCCCGCAGAGCCCCAGGCCGGCAACCCACAGGAGCCCTCGCGCGCGGGCCCCGCGTGACGCCATCTTGCAGCATCCTGCCTGCACTTTGGCAGAGAGCGCGGTAGGCAGGCGCGGCGCCCCGCCAATCATTAATAGGGCTGGTGATTCCGCATACTGATAGGAAAGGCGTCTTCACAGACTTGTTTCGGAAGTGTTTCCTCCTCTGTGAGTGACACTCGTCCCTGCCTACTAAGGCTGGGCCACCTCGTGCGCAGTCTCCTGAAAACAAGCCCCATGGAACGAAACGCGACTAGGCTTTGCTACGGCATGGTGCAGACATCTCCCGCATGGTGTCAACAGCCCCAGGCTGCAGTTCTGAGTTGCTTGGGAGTAAGCCCCATTGATTATAATAGCATTTATTTCAAAGAAAACATGCGTCGCAGCACGCTTCAGAATAAAACCTGCAAGGATCTGTGCAGGTCCATTTTAATGCAACTCATTAAAAAAATTAAAAAATTAATAACTCTATTAGGAACAACTAAAATGCGAAGAGTAGCGAAGGTTTCTAGTATCATTTAATGTCTTCAGGCTGCTACGAAAGCTAGGATGTAGCATAAGAAAAAGGGATGATGAAAAACGCAAGCTGCACTTGATAAGATACAGAGGAGAGAATATTACTGTCTTTATATTACTGTGTTTCCCCCTAAAATAAGGCCTGGTCTTATATTAATGTTTGCTCCAAAAGATGCATTAGGGCTTATTTTCAGGTGATGTCTTATTTTTTCATGTACAACAATTACATTTATTCATGTACAAAAAGCCACATTTATTAATGTACAGTCATGTCATCCGGAACAACTGTGTTGCAATGGATGTACTAAATGCGTCTGTCTGGCTGACGATCTTAACAGGGGCTTATTTTTGGGGTAGGGCTTATATTACGAGCATCCTGAAAAATCATGCTAGGGCTTAGTGTCCTGTTAGGTCTTATTTTCAGGGAAACGTGGTAGTAATGTGAGAAATAGTTTTTAGGCACTGCACTAGCTAAAGAGTCAATAGAAGCAAAACGGGTAATATTATTCAGTAACTGGAAGGAATGTATTCCCAATCGGCAAATCCTCACCTAAGAGATGCATGCCCTCCCAAAATATTTGGAGAAAGGAACAATAGGGGTTCAGACTTGGTTAGGAGTTATATGCATAGGATCTGCATGTAGTTAGGTGCTAACTAGACTAGGCAGGAGACGTGTGGCTATTTCAAATACAAATATTCACTCAGTTAAGATAAATTAGAAGCCAGTGCGTACTATGGTTACTGTATGTGTGGCAAAATAAACACTTCATCTGTGGCAGTGACTGACCACATACTGGATAAACTCTGTTTTTTCCCCCCTAAAGTAGGAGGAATAACAAACAAGTGTGAAGCATCCTGAGAATTCATTCTTTTGAATTTATTTCATGTTGCACTTATTTTTAAATAGGGGATATAAATATATTGTTGCAAAATTTAGGCTTAAATTGAAGAAAGTAGGGAAAAGCACTAGGCCACTCAGGTATAACCTAATTCATATTCCTGATGAATGTACAGTAGAGGTGACAAATAGATTTAAGGAATTAGATCTGATAGAGTGCCTGAAGAACTATGGATAGAAGTTTGCAACATTGTACAAGAGGTAGCAACTAAAACCATTCCAAAGGAAAAAAAATGCAAGAAAGCAAAATGGCTGTCTGAGGAAGCTTTACAAATAGCTGAGAAAAGAAGGGAAGTGAAAGAAAAGGCAGAAAGAGAAAGATACACCCAATTGAATGCAGAATTCCAGAGAATAGCTAGAAGAGATAAGACTGCCTTCTTAAATGAACAGTGCAAAGAAATAGAAGAAAATAATAGACTAGGGAAGACTAGAGATCTCTTCAAGAAAATTGGAGATATGAAGAAAAGTTTCATGCAAAGATGGGCATGATAAAGGGCCATAATGGCAGGGACCTAACAGAGGCAGAAGAGATTAAGAAGAGGTGGCAAGAATACACAGAAGAACTATACAAGAAAGAGCTCTCTGATAACCACGATGGGGTTGCGATGGGTCAGACGTGACTTGGCAACTAACAACAACAGACCATAGTAAGGTAAAATGCTTACCATTTTGATGTGTATTAATATTACAATTATCATTACCTAAACTTTAGATTATAAAGGTTACCTAAACAATTACCTTCATCCATATGAATTTGTCTGGATTTTAATATCTTCTCAGGCTCTGTGTGTGTATGTGGTTTTTTTTTTCCAGCCATACCTTTGGTGAGCATTATAGTGAGGACCTTTTCTTAATGGCACCAACACAGTGGAGTTTCTTCCTGCGGTAATCAGCTCAAGTCTCTTCACTGGGCACTTTTAAGTATGGTTTGAAAATACTTTCACAGGGGAATGCATTAGTTTCTGTGAATGCTAATTTGCTTGTTCTGTTTTAAACTGTAGTTTCTATCTTTTTTAGTGTTAACATTTTTATTTTAGTGCTAACTTCCTTTTTTAATTGTAGATCCATTATTTGTAAACTGCTATTAATCCCACCCTCCAACAGCTTATAGATATATAGAAAAGTAAACATTAGGATTAAGTTCTATCCAGAGTGATTGCTCCATGACTATATTATGTGGGTATGCACACAGAGATGATGTCAGCAAGGCACCCTTTTGTCTGCAACAATCCCTACCACCCTAAGCAAAAAAGCAGCAGGCATTTCTGGAGAAGGCATTCCACAGATATGACACCACCACAAGAAAGATCCTTTCTTTGCAGCCAGTCACCTTGCCTCATTTAGTGGGTCATCTGAAGACGGGTGTAAGATGGTGACCTTATGGTCCACATACAGAAATATGAGCAAAGGCCCTCCTTCAGGTAACCCTACCCCAGGCTGTTTAGGACTCTAAGTAAAGGATAAAGACCTTTTTGCCTGAGGTTCACATTCCAGCTTCGGAAGGGATGGGTCTCTGGGGCCACATTCCAGCTACAGGATGAAACCAAAGCAAAATGTAAATTGTATTGTTTTGGACATTTCAACTGAGCATCCAAGCCACAGCTCAATTTTGTGCATATGTCCTTAGAGTGAGCTCCACTGCAATAGCTTTCAGGTGAAGGAGTCAGCTCAGTTCTGTGCAGGTAAGTCCCAGTGGACCAGGTTTCAGGCCTGCAAAATACTGCTCAGTCCTATGCAACGTTTTGCATTCCTGTAAAGCACAGCTCAATTCTGTGAAGGATATTTAAAGTTTCAATGCCTTCTCAACTGTTTTTGGAGATAACAACCATAGAAACTTGTGACTGGACATTCTCCATCTCTGGTTTCAGTGTCAAAACTAGCAGTTTGATTTTGAGGAACTATGAAGCTTTGAAATGGACTGGCAGCCAGTGAAGATGAGTGTTGGCATAATGTGATCATACCAAATGATCAATGTTAACAGTCTAGCTGCCCTGTTCTAAACTAGCTGAAGTTTCTGAACTATCGCAAAAGCAGTCCCATGTAAACCACATTACAAAAATCCAAGTAAACACACATTGTGCAGATACAACATTTATACAATTTCTTGTTTGTGCCATCTGGAAATGTACAGTCCAAGAAAGTTTGTGATATTAATGATCTACTAAAGATTTAACCATGTTCTGAAATAATTACTAGCAAGATATCCTCATATGTTATTAGAAATGGTAAGAAAATTCTAAACAGACTGATGTTTTTCAGAGAAAGGGTATCCTTTTTCCTATCCTTTCCCCTTAATTATCCTCAGTTAGGATAGGAATGTGAGAGATTTTATCCTTCAGCCACACATTCCCCCTACTTTAATCTACCCACATGCAGTCAAACTCACTTAAAGAATCTTTGCTGGCTACATTTCCTTCTTCCCCCGCCCTCCACCTTCCTTTCCTCCTTCAATTAACACTTCAATATTCTATTGATTAAAGCAGTTACAACATAGATTAACTGATATGCAGATGATGAACATAATACATTACTCTGGATAATCAAGCATAATGACCAATAATCTGGAACATAATGAAACAAGTGCTTTGGTCCCTTCATATGAGGGAGAAACAATGCTGGAGATCTATGAGCTAGCAGCTGAATGACACCTCCAAAGGAGAAAGATTAAGGAGGCAATGTTTATTGATCAGCTGAAAACATAGTATCGGTATAAAAGATGTGATGAAAGAAGCCATGATGTTTATTACATCAGCTTGACCGGGTGTGGAATACAAGTGCTGATTGTATTGAGGTCTGCACTTACTTCTTATTGGTCCTGGTTCAATTTTTAAGTTGGACTGTAGCATATCCCTATTTATGACTGAGGCTCATGTTTTATACCAAAACATCTCATAGTATACCCCCACCCCACCCCACCCCACCCCATATTCATTTATACTTTACAGTGCACACAAACATTATGTAGAATTTTACTTTTCCCTTCTGCACAGCTTTGGCTATGAGGCAGTATAAAAATGAAAACAAAATTTGAATCTATTATTTTTTATGTTTTTTAAACAAAAACTTTTATACAAAGAATGTGCTATTGTTGACTGTTTTGCTTGCTCGTTTGATATTAATTAAATCGATAGACTTGCAAAGTTCCAAAATTTGATTCCACTCAGACCATTTTTAACTACCTGGGTAGAAGTGAGAGATGCCACAGATAATGACTGAGGAATTCAGGATTTAAGTACAGCTATGATTGGTAGCTTAAGTGTTTCTCCAACCCATGCATAGACAAGGTAACTGCAAAGGCAAGACAGACTGATTTTTAGCATTAAATAGAAACATAGAAATTACCTTTATCTCTAGGCCCTTAATCTTGGAAAGTTACAGGTACCCGCAGTGTCTTCAAATATGTAGAAACTACTCCCATATTTTATGGTGACCATGTTTCACTTCCAAACACAGAGGCACTCAACCACCTAAGTTCACTATTGCAGGGAATGGTGGACACAGCTGGATAAATGGATATACATCATTGCCTTAACCTGCTTCCTCAATTTAAGAAATCCTTAAAACTTGCAAGCATGTTACACTGTTCAATATGTGTGAACACACATTTATTGCTGCTGGTCATGCTGCTTAGGACTGG